GTTGGCCAATGCCAGGCTGGTGCTTGGGTTGGGGGGTGCTGCTGTGCTGGCCATCGCAACTCTGGTGGTGAAACGGGTAAGCCTGGGTTCCCTCTGGAACATGACTAGTGACTAATGTCCTTTTCACCGTCAAGCTGTGACTTGTGCATTGGGACTTCAGGAACTGAAGTCGCTGTCCCTTATTAACAAAAGAGCGCTACTTCCAGATTGCACAGGAATAAGACCTTGCAATGCATCCTTCCCAAAACCACCCTAGCCACACCAGTGCAGCAGACCTTCCATACGCGTCTCTTTCCAAACAGTCCTTGGCCTCCTCTAAGTAGTCTGTGATCTGGGCCAGTAGAAGCCCTGCATGTGATACCCATGTGATCAAAGATCACAAAACCTGTTGAGTGTATTTTTTGAGGGAGGAGCATTACTATAGGGGGAAAGGGAGAGAAAGCGACTTGTCTCCATCATTCTTCCCAGCCTGGGACACTGAAATATCCCTGAACTCTGCCTATGAAGGCGATTTGGCTTTCTGTTAAAAGGAAAAGAACCTTTTGGTTTCCTCAACCAAAAAAAGAACAAGGTGAATTGTTTTCAATCAAAGAGATTTAAATGACTGATTTTAATTGTTTTGCATTTGTACTCTCTAGTTATTTCCCTAAAGAAAGGTTGGTTTTCATTGACTGGTAACTGTATGTTCTTACGTTGATTTGAAATTAAAGATAGCTGTTACAGTTTAGGTATATTTGGTGGTTCTTTTTTTGCTAACCAGGAGGATACATTGTGTCCAAATATTTATTTATGCAATTATATGGTATAACTTACATTTTTTTTTATGTTAGAAAGTGGTGAATGATGCATTCATCTTGTTATTTGGATCAAATTCAAATCCCATTTGGATTGACATTCAAAATTCAATTGAAATGCACAAAACCAGCATTTAAATTTTTTATTAACTAAAACTACCTTAAATATGCTGGATACATATTTTGCGTTTAAAATGAACTGATGTATTAAACAAAAGAAGTATTAACTATAGTTAGTGACTTGAACTGATTATTTCTGGGCACTGCATCCTTCAAGATTTTAGGTCCTCTCACAGCTAGTTTTCGCCCATAGATTGAAGCTCTCCTGGTTTTTCAGCTCCAATTGGTGTTTTATCTTTGAATGAACTAATCATTGAACTGAACTAGTTGAATAAACTGAAATAAAGAAAATATTTTCTCTGAGTCTGTAGAAGAGGCTACTGCTGTCAAAAGCACTTAAGCACTTCATTAAACTCTGGCTCTAGGTTCTAGGCCAGAGACTTCCATCAGTGCAGTGAACTGACTTTTTTTTTTTTTTTAAACTTTGGCAGCAAATGTGTACTGCTTAATATTATTTATGGTATTTAATTTAAATGCTTACAAGAAGTCTAGGCCTTAACATAGGTTGCCAGTTTTAAATCGATTTATTTTTAAAAAATCATCCTCGTTTTCATTTAAAATAAGGAAAATCTTTTTTTTTTTAAATCCCTTTTTTTAATCACTCCTGATTTTGAGGATAAGGAATCAAAGGGAGAGGAAAGACGGTGCTGTATCTCCATGTTCACCCTTGACAGAAACGCTCTGTGATTTGTCTAGAGTCTCTGTTCGTCTGGCGTGGAAATTCTAATTTCTTATAGTTAGACTAAGACACGGCAAATCCCTTGTAACAGTCACAAGGGGGAAGAAAAGCTGATCTGTGGATGCAGCTCTGAAACAAGCCATCAGTCTGCAGAACCCATTAATCTATGGTACCTGTCCTCATGTTACCCTCTGCACGTCTAGACGTGCTCCCTCCACATCCGACGTGGGGCAGTGTGCCGGGACTGCAGTGCTGCTTGTCGGCTGTATTCTTTGTAGTGCTGGCAGCTGAGCGTCTTTCATGAGCAGTAAAAACTTACATGAAAACTAAATACAACTGTTCCAGAGCAATCCACTTCTGGTGGGTGGGTGGATGGATGCTTTGGCAGCAGAGCTGGGGTGAGTCAGTCGGAGATCATAGCTGGTAAGAGCAGTGATGCAGTTGTGAACCTTTGTTCTTCCATTTGCTCCCACAGCTGATAGACCGAGCCACCAGCTCGCCTGACGAGGACGACACTAAGGCAGAGCAGAAGTCCATCGAGGAGAGCTGGCAAGATCTGAGCTTGATCAAGGCAGTGCCGAAGCCTCCAAAGAAGCAAAGCCGGGCAGACCTCAGCGAGTCTCTGCTGTCCCCATCTGGGACCCTTCCTGCCCAAGGTCAGGATCTATGCTGCGTCGTCTTCCTCCTAGTGCCCAAGTTCTAGACAGGGTTAAAACGCCTGTCCCCGGTGTTGGCTGCGTGTTGCTGCCTTCGGGCAACCTCTTGTTTTCGTACTGATCGTTGTCCCCTACGTAACGCTATGCTACACGACCATATGAGAAGTCCTCCATCCTCTGGTTCCTGGGGAACTCATTCTGTCTCCTGTTGTGGGACCAGTCCTTGCCTGCCCTTTCCAGCTAGCCACAGCTTGTCTCCGTGGGCTCCTTGCTTGGCATCGGGGTGTTACACCAGTGTTAATTTGGCCCACTATGTTCCACACGGCTGGCTGGCTAGTGGGTAGCTGATGAGACAGTTCACAGCTGGTTCCACATCACTTTAGCGGGCAGAGATGGTTACACTCACTCCTGAGTCTCCTTGCCATCTAGACCAGGTAGGGCATGTTTTAATCCAGAAATGGGAAAGCTGGCTGGATTGTGGGAGGCTGGTCTAGACTGCTTGGAACATCAGCCAGTTAGTCAGGGTAGAGATTAAGATACTCTGCTGCATCAAGCAGACCGTGGTCCTGGAACGCGGAGCTCTTCTCATTTAGGTGCCTGTTCAAAGCCAGCCCGACTGGCAGTGATTGCAAGTCACTGCTTCCGCGTCAGCATTTGCTTCCATCAATTACTCGTAGCAGTGTAGCCTGGAGGAGCCCCATCACAGCCCCTTGTCTGGGTGCTGTACAAACACAGACCAGTCAGTGACTGCCCCCAAGAGCTTGTGTGGTGGTTTTAGTCCAGTTTATAATGGGGTGTGGGGGTGTGCCTCAATCAAAGCCACCAGGGTAGAGCACCCTCCTTGTGACGGTGAGGAGACGTCTGTGCTGTGATAAAAGACCTACAGGCCAGCTGACCCAGGCTCACAGGGCTAGCAGATTGCAGAGTAGAGGTTCGGGCTCAGAGACTGTCTCCCCCTCCCCGGGGTCCCAGAGCCCAGCCTGCAGGTCGAGCCCAAGCGTCTACGCTGCACGTAGCCTGAGCCCAGTGAGCCAAGCCAGCTGCGCGTCTCTTATGGCAGGCAGACGTACCCTGAGTCTCTAAAGGACCAGATTGGGTCAGGAGACCTGGGTCTCATTTCCAGCTTTGGCACTGAATTGATGACCCAGGGCAAGTCACGAAGTCTTTCCTACTGTGGCTTTCCAGTCTGACCTGTGAGGGTAATCCCTGTCCCAGCATGGTTGTAGGGCTTAGTTGTGATCTTCGAGTGAAAGCATTCACTGATGCTTTGCTGGCCATCTCCGCTGAGAGGCCAAGGATTGGATGACCCTGGATATCAAGCTGAAGTCTTGAGGAGCCTTCCAGGTCAGGGTCCGATGCGGCTTGCATGGGGGAAGCTGGCACTGCCACTGCTCGTGCTGCTGCTGTTCTGAGTACAGATTTGGTCTCCAGCTCTGATGATGATGATGATGATGATGGTTATTTTTTGTACTTGCAGTGCCCCCTCTGGAAGCACTGACTCTAATGTATCTCTATTTCCTTCCCAGCCGCCGAGACTCATGGCCATCCCACCTCCCTGGAGACTCCCCAAGTAGAATCCAGGACTCTGCTTTGTCTCACATTCCAGGAGAAACTCCTCTCTTACTACAGAAACCACGTCACCATCCCGGAATCGGACGTGGCCCTTGGTAAGCAGCTGGCAAAGGACATCTGCATTGAACTGCAGAGCTTCCTGCAAAACAAGTGCCCAGAACTGCCTTTCGGCAGCATGTTCCTCAGTGGTTCCCTCTGCGATGACCTCCAGGTTGTTGCTGCCGACCATGTCTGCTTCATGCTGCCCTTGGTATTTGAAACCACGCTCTGGAGCCTCATCCCAGGGGAGGACACCATCGTAAAAGATCCCCAGTTCTGGATGATCAGGCGGACTGACCTGGAGTACTTCCCTCGCGGGAGCAGCCCTTGGGACAGGTTCATAGTGGGCAGGTACCTCTCCTCCAACGTGATCAATGAGGCACTCCATAAAATGCTGGTGGCCTCTGTCAACTGGCCTGCCATAGGCAGCATGTTGGAGTGCCTCATCCGACCCGTGATGGCTTCTGAGGAGCTGAAGTTGGAGGTTACGCATTACGAGACCCAGCTGAACATAACCCTCTGCCCAGTGACAGAAGCTGGGGATAAGGTTCTTCTTGCCAAGCCTCCAAAAGGACTAGTGGAAAACCTCTGGCGACAAAGCTTTTATAGGTCCGAGGTCTCCAAGCTTAAAGATCTGGATGCTGCAGACTCTGGAGCCAGGCAGTGCTGCCTCAAAATCCTAAAAGGCGTCTGTAAAAATCATCCCTTCTTGAGCAAACTGACTGGCAGCCACCTGACTCATGTCCTTCTCCACCTGAGTGAAACTGAATCAGACTGGGCAGAGGAAGCCCTGGCTGCGAGGTTCCAGCACGTGCTTGAAGCGTTGGTTGGCTACCTGGAGACAGGCTTCCTCCCCTGCTATTTCAACAGTCAGATTAACTTGTTCTGCGAGCTGCTGGAGGAGGAGATAGATGAGATGGGGTATGCACTCTACAGTGCTGTGTCTCAGCCAGACCTCTTGTTCCTGCAACAGGCGGATAAATGAATTGCTAGCCTGGGAGTTCCTGATTGTAGTTTTTTTGCGCGTCTCTGCATCCACTTCTCTAAGCTGAGTGGATTGCAAAGCTTCTCACTTCCTAGTTGCTACCAGGTGAAATCCTTGCACTTAGTGAACAAAGTAGTCACTTTTTCGACACAAGGTGCCTGAGTAAAGGGATGGGAAATGGGATCTGGAGCCCATCACCACCAGGTCTCGCCACTTCCAATCCAGCCCATGGCTGTAGTCACGAGAAGTCGGGTATCATCTATTGAGTGGTGAGGCCTGGTTGAAGTGAGTTTGGTCTCCGTCCTGTCCCTACCAAACTGCCGTCACGGTTGGCACGATAGCATGAGGCGGCCCAGGATTGAATGGGCCTGGAAACTGAACTTCCCCTTGTTCCTGGAGGTAGTCCCTCCAGACCAGACCCTCACTGGTGAGTGTGGGGAACCTTACACTGCCGCTGCTTGTACTGTACCTGGGCTGTGTATAAACTGGACTTGTCTTCAGGGCTCTCAATCCAGCCCCTTACACGAGCACAAAATTCACTCTTCAAGTGTCAGACTCTAAACTTATAAGAGGGTGGTGTTGGAACCTGGTATGAATTTGCAAACCCAGGATTTTGGCAGCATCGAAGGGACAGGGCTGAGGAGAGGATCAGTTGAAACTGATTATGCACCACAGGATATTGCCATAGCCAATCAAATCCCATCTGTTTTTTCCTGACGCACTTTCAGTGTTACTAATGTAGCTCCCAACAGGACAAGCTAAATCTAACCGGTGTTGCTCGTTCTGTTAATGTGAGCTCTAATACTAGGGGTTCAGTACCCGTTTGGGAGTCTTTTTTTATGTTTTAACTCTCCCTCCTTATGCACTTCAGCGGGGGCTCCACGGCGGGATTAAGGGTGGTGGTGACTGAGGGAGAGAGATGGGTCCTACAGCTGTGGACACACACAAGACTGTCGCATGGCTGCAAGGTAGAACAGTGCTGGACCTACTGCTGTTGTACCCACGTCCCCCTCTGCTTTAAAATGAATCATGTTGACAGTCCCCACTCCAGCTTTTCAGATTCAAGTGTTTTATGCATGTGTTGCTTCTATCTAGATATCCTGCCCCTTCTTGGTAACCAATAAGACTGCTTACCCCCAGAAAGGGGCAGGATGGGGACAATGCTTTAATCAGAAGGCTTCTGTTAGCAAGAGCTGAAGTGATTTTATGTTTGTCTTCCTGTTAAGAATGAGTTGGTTTTATAGTGCTGCTGAGAGATTTACTTTGGTACCAGCTCTATTTCAGATACTAGAAATATGTTTTCTGACTGTTCTCATGAATTAAGAACCATGCCTATTTTGCACATATGGGTGGAAAATAAACCTGCAGCCTTTTAATGTGAGTATCGACTGGTGTTTAGTTTTCTTTGTGGAGATAGTATTTTGTGTTTTGGGGGGTGGGGGGGGAAGAATAATCTATTTCTCTGTGCACTGTGATTCCCTCAATCTGAAGACTACTTGATCTGTAGGCACTAAACCATGTTCCAAATGCTAGTGACAAGAATAAAACCTCACTGCGGAATGGGTCTCTTGTGTTTGGATAACTGCATTTGCTCTGCCTATCCAGGTACTTATGGCCCTCGCTACCAGATGATGACTCCCCGTTGCTTTAAAGATAGTACAAGTCTCTCACTTTCCTCCAGCCCCTACACAACGTACACACTGAGGGGAGATTTCACTCAGGAAATGGCAGTTCACGAGTTGAGGGGCTCAGGCCTTTAATTCTATTTCACGATCAGCTAAAGCGTAAAAGGCATTTCTTGCTGCTTTTGTTTCCCTGGAGAACAAAATTCCTGTACGTGCTACTAGAGTTTCAAAACAGTGCTCTGACAATTGAAGTACTCAACTGGCCAAATAGGGATGCTACTTTTAAACCACACTTTGTGTTGTGCGGTGAAACCGATATGAGATCATGCTGCTAATATTTTAGCTGTGTGGCAGTAAGCAGGAGGGCCTTGCTTCTGTGGGTTGAATAGGCTGCAGCCAGTTTACTGCCACTGTAGTTCTAATAGTGCTGACTAAAGTTCTGCTCCAGTATTCAGCCAGCCCTACAAAGCCTCTCAATCCTTCGATTTTAGCCAGCAGGGCCAGGATGTATTTTTAGGTCACAGCTGCTCCTACCAGTAGGAGTGAAGGACAGAGAAGTAAAATGGAACATGTGACGTAGTATTTCTGTTAACCTTACTTTGTATTTTGTCCTGATCCCAGGAGGATTACTGCAACGTTGTCTGAAGGGGGGGAAGCTGCTGTAATTCAGTTTGAGGAAGGATACTTCCCATGCCCTCATCCTTGAGCATTTTAAAATGGGACTGGCTCTCTGGGGAAGAACTGAGATGTGCTCACCCCAGGAACTGGGGAGTAACATGTGACCAGGACTACCTATAACTGATCAGATCAGCTTCTCGGACTAAAGTCCCATCTAGCACACATTTTTGCTTCTTTCCCTCTGGCTGCTGAACCTTCAGCCTCTTCTCTGTACTAACAAAGGGATTCCTGTTTGTGTATTTCTAGAGCTTTATTTGCAGTGCCTGCTAAGAAAAGGGAAGTCAAGACGGTCTTTGAAACAGCTCCACTAGCTACCCGGGGGGGGAGGGGGAGTTTTCAGAGGTACAGGCAAGCTGCATGTTGAATGCCAAAGGACTTTAAACTAAGCTTGTATGCCCTCTTCTGCTGTGATGTATAAAGGCAGCCTGAACTCTTCCTCTTTCCTGAGCAATATCAAGTCAACTCTTGTTTTGCAGGTGATCATGTACAGACTAATAAACTTAACAACTTTTAACAGTTTGGAGACAGAATAGTTTGACTCAGAATCCCCTTCCCTTGGACTTTCAGCTGCTTGTAAGTGTCATTTCATTAATGCTTTAGACTGTGGATGACAATCCCGGGCTTTGGAGTGGAGCCCGGAGCAGTGGAGCAGAGCCGGAGCACAGCTCTAAAGTCCTGGAAGACACAATAAGAGCAGCCAGCAGGGAACAAGTTTGGGCTTTTTTCCTTTTTCAGATCCCTTCTAAATAAAGCTCCCTGGACTTATTGCCCAGCAAGTGGCCATGTTATTCCAGTGAATGGCTGAGGGGGGGAGTGGTGGAAACAGCTGCTTTTAGGAAAAGAGTTTTCAGCTGAGCCTACAGTCAACTTATTTAGGCCAGAGGGGGTAATATGAGAGAGAGAGATAGTGACACCATTCCTGGGCATAATTTAACACACAGCTGAGGTAAAATAGAGTTCTCTTTTTTATTAAAAGCACATCAATCTGCCCAAAATAATTTGCATTAACTAGCAGCTTCATTAAGTTCCCTTGCTCACAGTGTCCAAGGAGTAGCTGGGTTCTAAATTCAATATCAACCTAAGTGCAGGTTCTCTTGTTTGAGCACTTGCACTGAGCTCCCTCTTCAGGGCCAGGGAGTGAGGCTTTACTTTCTCTGCCGTTAATTCTCCTTTGAGGCAAGGGCCAAGGGTGTTGGGGAACAGACTGACTGACTAACCCCAACCTGGAAGAGTAACTTAAAATATCAAATCCCACCCTGTGAGAAGCCAGAAAAACTGATTCACAACCATCAACAGATGGTTTCCTGGACAGCATCATCCCTAACTGCTCCCTGGTCTGCAAACAACCCACACCAGCTGCTCCAGCAGTGTGGGTAAAAGGTTTCCTCCAATTCCTTTAGTGCTACTCTTTTTGGCCCCCTACTATTTCCTAGACAGAAGGGCCTGGGGGAATGGCGGCTGTGGCGAGATTCAGGGTTGGCAGCTCTGTGAAAGTCCTCTTCCACTTCCCAACAACCATCTGTATTTTTCTCCAAAGCTTTAGCTGAGAAGGGGTTTTGGAAACAATGCCTGTGTTTACAAAATAGCCCCCAGAATAATAATAAACCAAGGAAGGCAGCAGTAGTTGAGCCTCCTTTAGAAGATAGCCCAGTGTCTGAATAAGTCAGAATGAAACTTTCCAAGGCGTAGTTGAGTGTGCTGGTCACCACCAAGAGAAGATGTGCTTTAGCCACAATTTCCAGGAAGTAGTTTGAACACAAGCCCCAGAGACATTCTGCTTTTAAAATCCACTGCATCGCTACAGCCAGCCACTCCTGGAGCAGTTCAGGACTCTGGCTTTTTTTAATGTTTCCTACAAGAGCATCTACTGTCCTTCCTCAGTGGTCCTGAGGACATGTCTTCCTGGTGTGACCAAGCTGGTGGCAAATGCCACAGGTTCGTTGTCTCTTGGCAGTAGGTCCTTTCTCAGAAGAGAAAGTACTTGGTCTTTTAGCTTTGCTACCAGACCCTCTTGAGTGCCCATCGCTCCTGAATTGGTTTGAAGAGAAGGCTCCTGCAGAGAGAGAGAGAAAGTTGGTTCTAAGCAGTTTAACACCATGTGAGCCACAGGAATAGGGGAAGAGTGATGAGGGGACATGGCCAGGGAGTTTGGGTCCATTTATTAATCCCACTCTTCAAAGTGTTCAAGAAACTAAAGATGCTTCTGTCTTGTTTGGATTTATATGTTCTTGGGCAGCATCTTGCAGCTCTGGGCTAGTGCACGAGATTAAAATGAGACGCTTATCCCAGTTGTCAGTTTAAACTATACAAAAGTCCAAACTGAAAACAGTAGAGTGTAGACTTGACTTTAGCTAATTTCACTCCCCCCCTCCCCTCCACCAAGTTTTCTAAAAATAGCCTGATTGTTCCAATTTTTTTTTAAGGGTCACATTTAAAAACTCGAGTCCCTTTAAAAAAAAACTTTCTGTACCTACTATAAGTGAAAGGAGCTGTACAGCCATCTTTTTTCAGCACACCAGGAATAGTCACTTTCACTGTTTCCCCCCATATGGTCAGTTTCTCTGTTGCTGAAGAGACCATTAGAAATAAAAGGGAGCAGGAAAAAAACCTTCTTTTTAAAACTAAATAAATAAAGGAATAAAAGGATTCCAGATAGGATTTAAAGTTTTTAAAAACAGCCAACTGTGTCCCTTGAACATTTGATTCCAGCTGTTGTCCCTCTGAGGAAGGTTTGATGCTGCCCCACTTGGCAGTTCTAGCTCTTCCCATGAAGAAGAAATACAAGAGGGAGGATGATCCACTTTTGATGGAGCTTAAACAGAGGGAGCAGCTCAGTTGGTGGGATGAAATGCAGCTCCAGTACCAGCAGAGGGCACAGAAGCACCAAATTGTTGCCCACTCCCCTTTTCAATCTCTCATCCACTCACCAACAGCTTTTTTGAAAACAGATATTTCCAGTTGGCAGGACGTTCCCCAGCCGATGAAGTTTAGGTTAGGAAAGGTTAAGAGCTCTGTGCATTGAACTGTGCCTTTGAAATGAATATCCACTCCGCTTACCACAGCCAGCCGTGAGATGGCCCATTACCTGAATAAATCCGCTCAGACCTAAATTGAATCAGGGCCCCTGTGTACCTGTTATATGCCCTGCTTTAGCTCAGTCGAAGGGACAGCAATTTAAGCCAGATTTCTGAGTTTCCTTATTGTTACAAAGAACCAGGTAAGCTTTTTAGAATATACTGACCGTTCTTTAAAGGGCATATCTAATGCATTTCAACCAAGTTATCTTACAGCAGCCCGAGTCCCTCTGCCAAGTTCTGTAGCTCTCCAATCCTTTTCCTATTTGTATCTTAAGTGTTTTAAGATGGTGCCCAGTCTCTCCCGGCAATTCAGCTTGAAAACACAGCCCCCCGCCATTCCATCCCACCGAAACCCCAACTCCGAGCACAAGCCCAGCCTCACCTGGGGCCACGTTTTCATCCACCCACTGGAAGAAGCCGCACTGCTGCTCTCTCGGCTTCGGGCAGGTGTGGAACTGACGCCCTTTGTTGGGTCCCTCCTTCTGGACGGTGCGTGTGATGGCCGGCTGATCGCACTTACACATCGCGCCACCGCCCCCTCCGCCCGAGTCGAAACCGTTGCTTCCATAGCGACCCAGACCTCTTCCTCCTCCTCCAAGGCTCCTGAAGCTTCCTGGAGGCCTTTCACCCAAGGAATCCGGGGGTGCAGAAAAGCTCCTGTGGGTTACGCTGTTTCCATCATCCGATTGTTGATCGGCCCAGAGGAAGAAGTTGCAGCTGCCGGCACTGCATTTATAGAACTGCCTGCCCTGGTTGGGCCCTTCTTTACGCACCGTGAGCAATGCTGCCTCCTCCCGACAGTTGCACACCACGGCATTGTTCTCGGCAGCAGCGGCAGGAGCTGGATGATGAGCAGCTCGGGGTGCTCTTGCTGCACCAGGGTTTGTGGTAGGTCTCACGTGGCCATTCTCATAGCTGGCCATGCGGTTAAGGGACTGGTTGGCTTGTAGGTAGTTAGCTGGCAGGTTGACTGACTGTACCCGGCTGGATGGTCCTTGTAAATATTTCAGGTCCAAGATCTCTCTCAACATCTCATCGCAACCTCCAATACAGCCAACAAATTCCAGGGGCAGCAGGGGTGGGACGCTACCTCGCTTGAACTTAAATTTCAGCCTAAATGAAAAATTAGAATCCGTATCTCAGATCAGAGTTCTCCCCCTCTTGGGACCTCCATGTCTTTGCTGGAACCGTGGGGATCACCGTGCTTATTCTACCTGCCCTCCTGGCCTTGTGCTACACCCATCATTCATCCAGTCTAGGAGGAATGGACTGCACTTCGTTGGATGCTTGTCAGTGTTGCTTTTAAAGCGGCCATAGCCAGATAAAGCATCCACCTCAGACTGTCCTGGGACTGGATGTGCTGTCTCTGCAGCAATCCAAGCCCAGCTCAAAAACTGGACACGGCTTCCTACAGAGTAGTGCAGGCCACTGCGGCAGGCCACTGCGGCTGACCAGTATGTTCTACGGGGCAGTTGTGTGTTTCTGTATGTAACTCACGCTACTCACCTATGAACCGGATGGGGTTTACACACAGCACAGACACTGTCATCCTTGCTGACTTCCAGCACAGAGTCAGGAAACCACACAGCCGCTTTACAGGTAGGATAGCTCACGCAGCCGAGATAAAACCTGTGGAGGGGAGTAAAGGGCTAGTGTGAGGAAGAGGAATAATCAAGAGAACTCACCAGCCACTCCACCTGCAGCTGCAAAGCTTATGGGACAGGGATCAGCAGCCCACTGTTAAAGACGAGTTTTATAAAAGCGATCATGTGCTTCCAGAATCGCAGCTCGACTGGGTATGCGCTGCTCTTGCAGCTGAACTTTGGCCTGATGCCCAGGGGCCTGGTGGCATAACCACACACCTGGTCATTGTAGCTTAGATGCCTTGTGAGGGGGAGAAGGGCTGGGAGAGTGCTCTATGCTGAGCTACAAGGGAGCCACACAACGTTAACACGCTGAGCTGTCATCTGCTTAACAGAGATCACTGACCCGCCGTTCTTCTTGCTCTTCAGGACCATGTCACTGTTGCACTGTGGACATTTCCGAATGGAGACGGGCATGGCTGGGTAGATCTCCTCTTGCTGCGCAAGTGCCGTTACTTCTCCGAAATACTGAGACAAAGCCTGATCCAACCTGGAAAGAAACACACACAGTCGCATTGGTTTCCTCTGCCATGAGCATTTACATTGGCTCTCGTTCTCCGTACGACGGAGATGGTGGGTGAGTAGCTGCTCCCACAGCTGGGCTCCAACGAACTTCACAATAAGTCCGTTTAGGAATGTCATGAGGTAAAAAAAAGCGTCCATTTCAGTCGTGGTGTGGGTGCAACTCCAGAGGTCAGCACAGACTGCCACCTTCTGACACCAGCTCTGAAGCTGCCCACTAGATGGAAACGAAGGGTTGTTACACAGCATCAGCACTCAGACTTCACGCCTCCTCTTGGAAATGCCGATGCACATGTCACGGAAATAAGCTCTGACATGATCAGAGCCCCAGACACGAAGCTAAGTCCTCCACTTTCCTTGCTGCTCTTCTGGGCGACCGCAGAGGCGAAGCGGGGGTTTTACTGATACTCACTTGTTGGCTTTGGCCACGGCTTCAGTGAAGACTTTCTGGTACTTCTCGATCTGCTGCCTCAGCACCACAAATTTGTCCTTCCTCCCCTCGCAAATCAACTTCAGATCAGCCTCCAGTTCAGCACGAAGGTCAGGTTTTGACATCTCGTAGCCCATAGAATCGTAGCCTGAGGAACGATACCTTGCTTTAAGCGAAAGGAAGGGATAGCGAAGGCATTTTCACGCCTAATTACAATCATCGTCCTTACCTTCTACCAGCCCCATGCCCAGGTGCCCCGGAAGGAACCTCTGATCTGGAGTAAGCCCCACGTACATCCGTGACTTGATGGTCTCGATGTGCTCAGCGTGAGTGGCATCAGTCCCTGAAAGCGGTCGTGCAGTCATTTAACAGCTGGCATGACGAACCCATCAGGGCTCTACAAGCTGGTATTTACTAATGCAGAGACCTGGGATGCTAAATACAGGCACAAATTTATCACAATGGGCAAGTATAGGCCTATGCTGCCCTCATACTCCAATGCCAATTGTAAGGGAGCCTCGGAGGCCACAACTGGGCCCTAAATAGATTCAGATGGGAAGTAAAGCTGTATCTCCAGTGAGCTAAACTGCCATCTGCAGAGTCCTATACAGACTCTGCCTGTAGCTCCTCCCCCCTTCCGTTACTCCGTAAGTTACTTTGGGAATGCAAGTGTCCACACAACTGCTTTTATCTTGTGTCAGCTGTATTTAGAGAATTCTCCACCTGGTGGAAGAGAGAGACCATTACAGCTACCGCGAAAGGGGGAGAGGTATACAAACTCCATTCTGCTAGACAGCATGAGGTCACGGTCACACGGTTCCATATGCTGCGGATACTGACCGATGCCATGTTTCTCCATGAGTGAAATGAGATCGGCTTCGGTGAGGAGCTGGGGTGGGCTGGTCTCCCCATCCACCATCTCCACTGTGGTGGGCTGAAAGCGAGACCCCCTCTCGTACACTGGGAGAACCTGAAGGAGGGAGAGAAGTACAAACTCCAATGAAACAACCTTCTGCAACGTTTGTTTAAGATTGAATTTAAAAACCCAAAGCAGGCGTGGGTCTAGGGGTGCTGCAGGAGACTCGTGTCTCATTCCCTGGGGTTTAACACGTAGCATGCTCAATATCGGGGAAGAAAAAGTGGGCCCAGCATTGTTCAACAGTGACCCCTTTTGGCAAGTTAAGGGACAGCACCAACAAGTTTGCAAAAAAAAGAATCAGGTCCTCATGCAGGCCAGTGCCATGTCCCTTCCTCAGGAGGTAAAATGGGGGAGGGGGAAGGGAAGTGAGCACTCAAAACCGCCAAAATGAGCTGCAGAGATCTTCAGGTGAGAGATGAACCTCGGGGTAGAACAACTGGAACAAGGGAGTTCTCAGTGGAAGGCCTGCAGGTACATCTGACAGCAGAATTTGGCCCTTAAGTGTTTACACATCCGCACAGAGCCTAGGCAAGCTTAACTGCTGAGTAACGTTAAACCCAGTTGCATCTTGTAATGATCCCTCCCCAATTTACCATCTCACATACGCTTTGATCGAGACGGTTACCTTGTCACTCCACTTCTCATAAGGATAGACGTCCAGATAGTTTCTGGCCAGGATCATGAGCCCATGAGCAACAAATCGCTCATTAGCAATGTCAATCTCCACAGTTGTTTCTTGTCCCTTGGCATCCTGGGAGCAGCAAGCCAAAAAGTGACGCACAATGAATTCATACAGTCGCTGTTCATTCCCCTAAGAACACATGAAGAGAAGAGGGTCAGGAGTCTCCTCCAAATAAAGGACACCCCACTCATACAAGTATAGGTTTAAGAGCCCTCTTTCAGAACGCAAGAACCTTGGGACCAGAAGTGAAGACATCAAAAGGAATCCAGTAGAAGTGCAGATCAGAGCAAGAGATTAAGAGTCAAGAGACCTGGGTTCTATTCCTAGCTATACCACTGACCTTGTTAGGTAAGTCATTTAGCCTCTGTGCTTTAAAATACATCTAATAGGTACTTGTACACCTCTGTTAAGCACTAAGATCTTTGCATGAAAAGGACTTCTTATAATAATTACTCCCCCCTCAGCCACAAAGCAGGACTTTAAAACACCACTTGCTTCAGGCTGTCAAGCGGTTTAGGTCCCTATGTTTTAAAACAAGTGTCTATAAGGAAAAGGTCCTGTATGCACTGAAAGCAGCATCTCCTTTGTACTGGGACTCATGAGGAAATGTAACTAGGGGCAGTGAACAGCTTTAGGACAAGCAAAGAGAACCTCCACTGAAAATCTGATGTGGACTTCAAAGGTCAAAACTTGGAAGTGGGTAAGAGGTGCATATTTCCAGCTTAGATTTTCTATAGCACCTAGTATTTTTCAGCCAGTTTTCTGTGCAGAAACATTTATTAGCAGGGTAGCATATTTTAGAAAGGATCTTTCAGGAGAGAAACCCACTTCTGAAGCTATGGAAAGTAATTCCATTTGCTAATAAATGCACAGCAAGCCCCTGTCTGCTAGAATCACCATGTTACCCAGTCACTGGTAAGGTGCGCTGTCAATAGCAGAAATCCACTCTGTGTTAGACTCACCTGCAGGTTACATGCATATTTAGTGGGGTGAATGGGAGGGTGAGCCTGATCGGATTTGGTCCCATTCCGAGGGGTTGGCCCACCCCGGTCTAGAATCCCCTGTGCAAAGGCTCCCCAGTTGGGGTCTTCGGTCTGCTGTTGTACCAAAGAAGAGAGGTTTAGGTCTTTGGGGAAAATGTTGGTCTCAGTTCGGGGATAGCTTATGTACCTTAGAGACAAAAAGAAAAACAAATCAACCACACTGGATGCTGACCAGTCACCGTTCCTCTTGTGGGTTCTTCCCATTTCCGATGAAGGGTCTGCTGTTTTGTAACAGGTATTTCATTCCAGCACATCCAGGTCTGGAATTCTTACCCTTGAGTGTAGAGCTTTTCTGCTATTTTCATGGTTTCTTTGGCATTTATTTTCAGCTTGCGGGAAGCCAGCTTCTCAAGTTCCTGTGTCATAAAGAGACAAAGAAGAACGGGAATATTCACCACACAAACCTGGCCAGTCACTAAAACTCGTATTCAATGCTCCTTTAAAAATATATAGATATATTTTTAGCATCATCGTATCAAACATACCACAGTGTCTAGTGCCAGGGGCCTCCATTTGCTCTTCGGTTTGCTCCCAATCTCGACAACAGTTGCCGTCGGATCCTAAGCACAGAGCACGCAGAAAGGAAAATCAAACGGAAGTGTCTAAATGGAGTGCCGTTTAAAGGTGCCCACGAGGCAGCAGCTGCTGTCTAATGCTTCTGCCAACCAGAAGGTAAAAGGCAGAAAGGCTTGTTTGATGCCGGACCCTGTATGGTTGACAAGGTTTCCTACCTCCATACACATGTGGTACAGGACAAGGCATGCTGTGTGGTTAAAGAGTCGGTTCCTCTTCCAGTTGAAGTCTACCATGCCGTCCTCATGTTCATGGGTCACTGCATTGAAAAGGAGGTCACCACATCAGAGAGATGGTACAAAGCAAGACTGCACTGGCTAGACAGGGACGGAAAAGGGGGCCACAGAAAGCTCGCATACTTTTGGGAAACCTTCCCAACTGTGCTGAATGACCATGGCAAAGGAAGGGGAAAATGGCACATCTGTAGCAATGTTTGTGCATTACACAGAAGCATCTCCCTCATTCATATTTTTCAGTCAAGCCGTGCTTCGTTTCCTTTTCAAAAGCACTGAACCCTGAGAGCACTGCACTAATGTCCCAGAACATACCTTTAATTTTATAGAAGGCCTCAGGAACAAAGGCCTGGATGGCTTTAAACCTTTCTACCACAAATCCCAGAGTTGGGAACTGACAGCTACCATAGCTGATCAACTGCTCGGCTAGAACGTCGGGGAAGAGCTTCTGGAGCCTCAGGGTCTGGAATCTGGTGAAGGCGGCACCTGGAAGAAAACAAAAAGGGATTTTAAAGTTGGGATAATCATTTTAAAAAGTAATCACACTACCTGCAAGCTTGGTTTCGGTTACTCAACTGACATGAAATGCAGAGGCCAAGCAAGTGTCACAGAAATAGTTAAGAACCTAACAGCTCCTTCAAAGAACAACTATTTTATTGGAAACAACTGAGTGACGACATGATCTATTGGTCTCAGAGCTAAATCTCCTGCCCCAGAAATCAATTTTTGCATTTCTGTCTCATGTCACAGGGATGTGCAAATAGATGATTTTGAACCACTATCACCTGCTGTGCTTTGGAAGAATAAACAACGAGAGCTCTTTATCCTGGAACTAACACAATAGCCTAAAGGAGTTGAGATACTTTAACCTCTCCATTTTGTGAGCTGTATATTGATAGCAAAGCAATGAAAGCTCCCGAACATCAATTACCTGCCAGGGCAATTTTACAGAATCCCTTTAAGGAGAGATTTACAGAGCATCAAAAACTTAGCTACTGCCCACCCTAGCTTCATACCTATCCTAAGGTCCAGCTCCTGTCTGACATCCACAGCATCGCTAATGTTCTGATTGGGTTGGACGAGGTTCTCACAGGCTGCTCTTACGGCACGAGGAGTGATCTCGGAAAAGCGGGCTCGGAACACCTGAAGGCTTGGCTTCACTGTCAACCAGAAAGAGGGATCAAACATGATTTTCAACCCAATGGCAGACTGAACACTCAGTGATTTCCTTTAAAACTATCGGTAGTAGAACCAGAACCAGTTTTAGCTTTCAAAGTAACCCCATTCAAGGTAGACGACATATATAGGCTGATCTGGAGTCCAAAAATAAAGTCCTTTTTAGACCACTGAAGCTTTATAATGTCCTAGTTAGTTTCACGGATTTCACTCTTGTAAATCTAGTTTAAAAACAAAAACAAAAGACCGACATCTAGTAAGTGGGGGCCATTTTTATATCTTTGCAGTCAAAAGGATCCAGGTGATGGTTTCCAATGACACCCTTCTGCACTCCCAAGTGCAGTTCCCAAAACTGGCCTAGAGTTATCATAACATAAATGGAAAAGTGCTGACAAGGCCTCTAGCAGTGGGAGAGAGGGACAGAGGAAAAAGCTCAGTTACTTTGGAGAGAGTAGAAACCTAAGTTACTCCTGCTTGGTCATCTTAATGTGACTACATTCACAGTCCCCATCTCATCTCTTTACATGATCTGGGAAGTGAACTGGCCCAGTGACAATTAAGCAAGCCTAGATGGAATTTCACTGTATGGGTAGAAAGATGCGTTTACAATACAGCTGAGAAAATTCTACGTTCACTTCTGATACCCAACATTACCAGACAGCCAAGACGAGCTTTTATACCTTGACTGCAAGTTCTGTCCAACTTAATCTGTATATTTTGGCTATGGAAGCAATAAATGTGTTGGACAAAAAACCCCTCACTAAATGTTAACCCAGTCCATACCAGCTGTGCTGCCTCCACCCACCAAGACTCCGTTGAAATCAATGGACTGGAAATGTAGCCCCGTTGCTGGTGACGTGTTACATTAACACATCCCTGGTACAGTCAACACCACAGCCAATGCATTCTACTTGGATCTACTGCAAACATTCAGCAGCAGCCTTTGGAGTTACATTGCTGAACAAGATATCTTTTTAGTCAGCATTTCAAAGAATGAAACAGTAAGACCTCCACCCACCAGCTTTGCAAACATGGATTATCTCAAAACCAATGTTCTCTCCTTCTCGATCGCAGTCGGTCCAGATCACCAGAGCCTGGCACTGCCGGGCTTCTCGTTCTAGGGTTTTCTGAGATGAGAGAATGGCACAGCATGAGACACAGCAAGTCACTTATCATGCCATCTAATTTAGTCCAGGAGTGAATCACCAACAGCAACGTCAACAGTCTAACTTGATCTTGAAACGGAACACATATCCATAGCGACAAATTTATTATAGTGAATTGTTCTGATTTTCCATTCTATTGCATGCAACATATCCCATTATTTTAGCCTTACTGACTGCAGAGATGTATGTGCACACGAGACCACCATGTGTGTACTTTTTCCTCTCTCTTGTGCATATATCTGAAATTAACTGCATTGGCTGCTCTGCACATTTTCAACTAAAATATAATTTTATTCATACAAAACACACCAGAGAGAGTAGAACCTCATTAATTTTCCCTAAGCTAATTAGGGGAGTGTTCAGGCATTGTACTAATTTCCTGGTTGCAAAGGGGTGCTGGCGTAACGCTGTATGAGAGCAGTGCCACGTGGCCATTTATGAGAACAAGATGTGTATCTCACGAGGCTAGTCAGTGAGCTAACAGGTTTTGATGACTATAGTAAATACTCACTTATCTGCATCCATTTTATACAAAAATAGTCATTATCTAAATTTGGATCGTGTCCCTTAATATGTTTTATTAAACACAGGACTTTCCGATGTAATCTAGATGGAACTGGGGCCATTAATACTTTGATTCCAATAGAGGGGATTCTACTTCAAATAAATCAGTCCTTTGACCTGACTGCCTAATTGTGCGTAGGCTAGGAAACTAAGTTCAAAGGCAGACAGCATGTATAGTCTGAAGAACGAGAGAGAAAATATTTATGTTGGCTACAGTCCCAGAGAGCTAAAGGTTATGGACAGAGGTCCAGTCCTCTCTCTGTCTGCACCAATATTTGTGGAACCTGTCACTAATATTTGAGTATCACGTAGCCTTTTAAAAGCACATACCTTAATATCCACAAAGTTTTCAGGGCAGTATTTCTCAATTTCAGCTTCAAAGAGTACAAGTGGGTTGCAGCTATACCTGGGGAAGAGATGATAAACAGCAGGACTTAATGTACAAAAGAAATCAAAACATTCACAAGTGATTCCCTGGTGCTTTCTATCTTTTACTGGTGTACTGATGAAATGCCAGAATGGTGGTTATATACGGTCCTTGTCTTAGATGAGGACACTGGTACACATACACATTAGCCAGTTCATTCATTGTCATAAGTTACATTTCACAGGCTGACCTTAAAAGGCTCACTGCGCTGCACATCTCAGCATAAAAAAAGAGGCCAAGCAGCATGTCACCAGCTCTCTCAGATCAGTGGTACTAACCATTTGCGAAATGGCATCTTAAAGTCATGAGCCAGCAAATGTCCCGAAACAGAGGTCATCGCCACAGTAACATTCTGTAGGAAATGGATTCAGACAATTAGTTTCTAATAGTTGCTTCTGTTTTGCTAAAGCCAGGTTACGTTGGTGTCCACGAGCTCCAGACACAAGGCTCTCATTTGATGGATCAGACACATCAGTTTCTAGTCAATGATATCTGCCTTGCTTCTACTGACATAGTAATAGTTCTCCCTTCCAGCCATAGCTGAGCATTGTACACACGTTATTGTATATAATCTGGGAATTCTGAATATATGAGTGATCAGATGGAAAATGCCTCCTTGACTTAATAATGCTTAGCATATATGGAGAGCTTTTCATTGATGGATCTCACAATGCTATTTTACAGATGGGAAAACCAGTGCAGAGAGATGTAAAGTGACTTCAGGCCACACTGGAGGTCAGTGGCAGAGCCAGACGTAGAAGTCAGATCTCTTGACTCTTAGACCTGGCCCTTGACCACTGAACCATACTGTATCTGTAGGAGATAAAGACAGCACAACACTAACAGTGGAAAAGACATTTCCCCGATGTGTTCAAATGAAAACATGAGATCTCAATTTCACAATAATTTGGCCATTCTTCATACACACATTCCTTGCACAGATATCTCCATTACTGAATACATAATTCTGTACCATCGTAGTTAATGTTTTTGTTAGATGATCGATCAGCATTTTGTGTTTCCCTGAACCAGAATGGTTATACAGCGTGATGAAAAAAAGATGGAACCCTACCTGGCCAAACATATGATAGTCATATTCATAGATCTTGTTGAATTTGGAAAACCCTTCTCTCTAGACAAAAAATGGAAAAGATGTTTAAAAAATTGCTCCCCCACAAAAACAAAACAAAACACTCCAAATCAATATACACAAACAACAGCTATAGCAGAAACCATGTAAATATGTGACAAATGAAAAACAGGCTGCGGGTGTTCAGGTGTCCAATAATTTTTCAGATTAAATTAAATAAGATCTAGAGGAAAGGCAGGCTGAATGGAAATGATACTGGCCATTTATAGAAACATTTGACACTTAATGGTGCTTTACAGTGTCAGAGCACTGTACAACACCCCTGAGAGACATGTTGAAGACTGAAAAATATTCCAAGTTCCCAATGAACAACTGTCAGCTTACAAAAACGACACGTAATTCAGCACACACTGTTCCGAGTGTATCTTCCACTTATCAAGGTTTGTAGAGGTTTCTAGATTGGGCCCAAACATTTCCCATTATCTTCTTTGGAAGCGTGTCGTTATCTAGATTGATTCAGACCATCAATTCTCAAGTAATCATTATTTTTTTTACTTCTATCATATCTTTCAACCTAGGATCTACCTGCACTTTTATAAACATTAAGCCTCCCAGCACCCTGCCATAAGGATATTATGGCTATTTTACATAAGGGTAGATTGAGGTACTGAGAGGTTACATGAATTGACCATTGTCACATAACATGGCTTCCTTGACCACGGGATGCTGTTCCGGGAAGAAGGACTGCTAAGCAGAGATGGGGTCCATCTATCCAGGAAGGGGAAGAGCATATTTGGATACACACTGGCTAACCTAGTGAGGAGGGCTTTAAACTAAGTTCGACAGGGGCAGATGACAAAAGCCCACAGGTAAGTCAAAAACATGGAGACCTGGGAAACGGGTCAGATCTGGCGGGAGCATGGGCTGTTATAGCAGGGATAAGGGGGAGATAAGAGAGAACATACAGGGGAAATCAAATCAGAATCTTAGGGCTTGTCTACACTTACATTTTATAGCGCTCTAACTTGCTGACTCAGGGGGGTGAAAAATCACCCCCGAGTGCAGCAAGTCTGAGCGCTTTAAAGCGCTACTGTAAACAGGTTCCGAGCGCTGGGAGCGCATGGAGGTGGATTACCAGGAGCGCTGGGAGAGCTCTCCACACTCGCACTTCAAAGCGCTGCCAGGGGAGTGTTCCCGCGACAGCGCTTTGAAGTTTCCAGTGTAGCCATGCCCGTAGAGATCTGTATGCTAATGTGAGAAGTATGGGGAATAAGCAGGAAGAACTTGGAATGCGAGTTAATAAACACAACGATGACATAGTTGGCATCACAGAGGTAGATAATATGCATGACTGGAATATTGGTATAGAAGGGTATAGCTCGCCCAGGAAGGGGGAAAAGGGAGGTGTTGCCTTACATGAATGGCAGAACAGGAACAGTACATTGAGTTCTCTGCTCGAACCACTAAATCATATTCACTGTGTTAAAAATTTAAGCCACTGGAATTTGATGAGCAATAACAGCACTGCAAGAAGCAGCATTTTTTGACCTCTAAACCAATTGCATTACATGGCAGGAGATGTGCATGGCTGTTTCAAGTTCTAATATTTCTCACATATACAACAGATTGCAAGTTAGGAACGACAGCTGAAAATTCACCAAGGCAGCACCTCACTAGAACAGACAAGACACAGTCCATATTTCTGTGCGTCTGGAAACAAAGATTAGGACTAAAGAACAGGATTTCAACATTGCTTCAGTCACAAGGGGAAATGAGTCTGGTGCTGTCAGCCTCATCTTGTCCGATATGCATTTGTCCATCTCACCTAACCTGGCACAGTTCATCTTCAGTAGGAATCTGTTTGGGAAAGGCCAGAGACTGGAATAGCACAAGCTGTTGCATGTAAGGATTGAAGTGCACTGGTAGAGCTCTGCAGAGTGGCCCACGGTTCTAACAAAACATGGTGCTGCAGGTCGGGACTGATTTAAATTGGCACTAAAATGAGGATGCCGCTTGCACATTTCCTGGCTCTAATGGGAGCTCAAGGAGACAATGCAAGCCTTGCATTTTAATGTGATCACAGAAAAATAACATCAGCTTTAAACAGTCTCGGTAGTGGTATTTAGACTCTCTAGGGCAGCCCCACTATGTTATATCTATTTTAAGACCAAATGAATTAACCCAGAAACAACTGAATGATTGGCAAGTACCCCTAACAAGTTGTTTATGTAGCTGGAGAAACAAAGCACAACTAGAAAGTGACCCAAAAAGAAACCGTTGCTTTTACTCTCTTACCCGCCTCATTCTGCTATTGGAGAGAATATCTGCAATTCCTCTGGCAGCATCATTTTTCTCTGCCACACAGAGGACCTTCTGAATCTTTCGGAATGTCATATCCTCTGCAGCCTGGGAGAAGAGACTCCAGGACTGAGACAGCAACCTGACCCCACAGCGGGCAAAAAGCCTGGCCTGAAAGTTCATTCTGAGAGCTGAGGGCAGCTCCCAACTTGCCAAGACATGTTGCCCCTTCCTCAGGCTGCTGCCACTTTCCCGCAATCAGACACCAACATGTATCAGTAAAAGTCTTGGCTTAAGGATTCCACCTCCAGGAGGCGATCTCACCCGGTGAGCAACCACTCTAAAGTACCCCTGGCATGATTTTGATGGGGCAGTAGTTAGAGACCCTCAAGCTTCCCCACTGATGTCTGCTGGCAGCTCACTGTAAATTCCACCTCACATGGTTTTAGAAGTTAAAGCAGATGCTAACTCAGGAGGTATATCTGAGCTAGAAGAGATTTCCAGTCCCTTCCCCAATAACAATGCAGTATTTACCCCATCACCCATGTCCTTTCCCCACTAGACTCAACCTCCTGAACCCTCCTCCCCCTCTCAGCCCAATGGCAGGGCTCCCCTCCTCAGCCCAATGACAAGCCCCCCTGACCCCCTCAGCCCAATGGCAGGGCTCCCCTCCTCCCTAGCCCCCTCCTCAGCCCAATGACAAGCCCCCCATACCCCCTCAGCCCAATGGCAGGGCTCCCCTCCTCCCTAGCCCCCTCCTCAGCCCAATGACAAGCCCCCCTGCCCTCCTAGCCCCAATGGCACGGGCTCCCCCTCCTCCCTGTCCCCCCTCCTCAGCCCAATGACAAGCCCCCCTGACCCCCTCAGCCCAATGGCAGGGCTCCCCTCCTCCCTGGCCCCCTCCTCAGCCCAATGACAAGCCCCCCTGCCCCCCTCAGCCCAATGGCAGGGCTCCCCCTCCTCCCTGGCCCCCTCCTCAGCCCAATGACAAGCCCCCCCCGCCCAATGGCAGGGCTCCCCCTCCTCCCTGGGCCCCTCCCTGCCCAATGGCAGGGGATCCCCCTCTCCCCTCAGCCTAATGCCCGGGGCTCCACTCCCCGCTGCGCTGAGGGCTCCTAGAACCAGGGCGCCACGATTCCCTCCAATACTTCGCCTTCCCTCCTCCCAGCCGAATTCCACGCCGCCGCCGCGGCGCACACTGTCGTGACGAGAGAGGGAAAGGGCGCCGTTCACCTATTTTTACGCCTTGCCGTAAAGTGGCACCGCCGCCTGCTGCGGGCGAGAACTACAACTCCCAAGAGGCCCCGCGGCTTCATTTCTATTTTTAAAAACGGTGATTCGCTTCCGCTCCTGCCCGCGAGGCGCCGGCGAGGCTTTCAATAACGTCTGGAGGGGTTACACTGACAGCCGTAAACAGAACAACCTAACCCGGCACCATTTCCGGGTCAGGGGTCACCGCCTGAACGGGTCATGTGATCGGAAGATGGCTGCCGGGCCGCGGGCTCTGTGAGGGAAGTGACGGTTCCTGGTTCGAGCGCCAGCCGGGGAGAAGCGGGCCGGGGACCGGGGGCCGGGGGAGCTCGGCTGGCGTTAGCGCCTGGCGTGGAGGAGGCCCCGGGCCGGGGGAGCAGCCCGTCCTCCGTGCTTGCAAGGACAGCCCGAGCTGGCGGGGGCAGAGCCGGCCCCTGCCCGTGTCCGGAGTCGGGGAGAGAACCGGCCCTGTGCGGGAGGCGACCAGCGTGAGCGAGGAGCTGGCGGGGGCGGGCCGCCCCCGGCATCCTGGAGCGGGGGTGGGACCGGTCCTTTGGGCTCGTGACTGTGAACCTGGGGTGGGGGAGAGGCTGAGACTGAGCCCCAAGGACTGCGGGAGTTAGGGGTACCTGGAAACGGCGTGAAGCTGATCTCTAGGGGTGCTGAGTGCGTGGCTGGGGCTGAGACCGCTAATCCCGGGGGCTGAGAACTAAGGAATATGGGGAACTAACTTGCCAGGCACCTTGGATGAGGAGGGCTGACTCCCTCCCACCCCCCAGAGACCCAGAGGTGGGAGGACCTTAGCCCTGGACAGGGGTTGGGAAAGGAGGCAGTTCCTTTAGTGTGAGAAGCGTTTCTTCCCCTGATGGGTTTTGGTTGATCTTTTCAGTTTTGGGGTTGGGGGAAGGGTTCCCTTTTCCATGTCCTTTCACTCCACCTATAAATATGATCAGCGCCCCTGATGTGGTGGCTTTTACCAGAGAGGAAGAGTTTGAAGAGGAGGCATACAATGAACCATCCCTGCCCGAGGAGTACTCTGTGCCACTGTTCCCCTTTGCTAACCACGGTGCCAACCCCTGGTCCAAGCTTTCAGGCTCCAAGTTCACCAAGGACTTCATTCTCATCTCTGAGTTCTCAGAGCAAGTGGGCCCGCAGCCTTTGTTGACCATCCCGGATGATGCCAAAGTTTCTGGCACTTTTGATCTGAACTATTTTTCCCTCCGGATCATGTCTGTGGATTATCAAGCCTCCTTTGTGGGGCACCCTCCTGGGTGCTCCTACCCAAAGCTAAACTTTGTCGAGGATTCCAAAGTGGTGTTGGGAGATTCCAAGGAAGGAGCTTTTGCTTATGTGCACCATCTAACTCTTTATGACCTTGAAGCTAGAGGCTTTGTGAGGCCTTTCTGCATGGCGTACATTTCCACTGACGAGCACAAAATCATGCAACAGTTTCAGGAGCTCTCTACAGAGTTCTCCAAAGCATCAGAGTGCTTAAAGACTGGTAACAGGAAAGCTTTTGCCAATGAACTTGAAAAGAAACTGAAAGACCTTGATTACACCAGGACAGTGCTGCACAATGAAACAGAGATACAGAAGAAAGCAAATGACAAAGGATTTTACACAACCCAGGCCATTGAGAAAGCTAATGAACTGGCTAGTGTTGAAAAGTCCATTATTGAGCATCAAGACCTGCTAAAGCAAATCAGGTCATATCCTTATAGAAAACTGAAGGATTCTGATTTCCATCCGTATGAGCCAGAGTGTGCACTGGATCAAGCTAACCCAAGCTTTGATCAAGACTCTACTACCTCTAACCCTGATGAGCCCAGTGAAACGCATCTTTATGCACGGTTGCCATCTTACACCCCTAAACTCATCAAAGCAAAATCTGCCAAATGTTTTGACAAGAAGCTGAAAACCTTGGAGGAACTCTGTGATGTTTATTTTTTCACCCAAACTCTTGATCAGTTAAATCAAATAGAGAAAACATTTAGAGGCGATGTGTGCTACCTTTTGACCAATCAGATCTGTAAAGCACTTTTAAAGCAGCAAAGTATAACTAACTTCCTTTTTGAAGATAAGTCTGTTTTAGATGAAAAACCAGCTGAAAAACAGTACAGTGGTTGTCAGGGATCTAATCAGGACACTGTCAACACCAAGTGTTTGGAAGAATCTCCAATTCCTAAAGTGTTAATCAGCTTGGAATCTTACAAATCTAGTGTGGAGTCTGTACCTATCAAGATGGAGCAGGAGATTGAAGATTCCCAAGAACCAGAAGTGACTGAACCTATTGCTTTTGACCGGGAGAATTTGGAATACCTTGATGCAGACATTAAAGGGAGTATTAGTAGCGGTGAAAGCATTGAGGTTTTGGGAACAGAAAAGTCTACTGCGGTTCTGACAAAATCTGAGAGCCAGGCAAGTTTGCCTATCCACCCAAGTCCACAGGTGGTCAGGAGCAAGGCAGTTAGCAGAAGGACCATCAGTGAGGACAGCATTGAAGTCCTCAGCTTGTGTCCTTCGGAATCTTTGATCCCTGAAGATTTTAAAGCAAGCTACCCAAGTGCCATTAATGAAGAATCTTATGCAGATGATGAAGGTCGAGGTATTCACGTCAGCCCGAGTTTAAATCCATCTAACGTTGAAGAGATGGAAGGCAATTCTGAACAGGAGAAATTATTGCCAGTTGATTCTGCCTGTTGTATTGGGAAAGAGTCTCCAAACTTTTTAGAGCCTCTACCTGACCTAACACACAAACATTGTGATGATGATGGTGTGGTCAGTATTCCACCACAGCCATATAGACAGGTGGATCAGGGATTTCATGTGAACTTCACAGACTGTTCTTCACATGATGATGTCTCAGGGGGACTGCTTTCATATGAACTTGATCCGCGTTACTTAAGCAGTAGAGAGGCCAGTAGAATTAGTCTGGATGAATACTCAGACTCCACAAGCTACGTGAGCAGTGCAGCATCCACATGTTCTGAGACTCCTTCTCCGGCTCATCCTCTCAGTCACTTTAATGAAAGGCACAAAAAAAAAGCTGGCCAGAATGCCTTGAAGTTCATTAGGCAATATCCCTTTGCTCATCCTGCAATATATTCTCTGCTCAGTGGAAGGACGCTAATAGTGCTGGGGGAAGATGAAGCAATGGTAAAGAAACTTGTGACTGCTCTCTCCATCTTTGTTCCTAGTTGTGGGGTGTATGCCAAGCCTGTGAAACACTGGGTCACTTCCCCTTTGAATATCATGGATTTTCAGAAGTGGAAGCTGATTGGACTGCAGAGGTAAACTAACAGAGATCTCCTTCAAATAGTAGATTCATGGGCTTATTAATGTTAAAAGGTCCAAGCGAATAGTTCCTTTTTTGAGACTTCTTACGTTAAAAAAGGAAGTATTGAAGGGGAATTGATACTATTGAAACGGGAAGCACCCCCACCCCCATAGTCATTTTCATTGGGTGGGGCTTGTTGCTACACATTTCTGCTTGTTAGGTGTACATGTGTGTCTGTATAAGACAGTGGTCCCCAAACTTTTTATGTCACACCCCACCCAGGGGCCGGGAGCAGTGCCGCGGTTGGGGGCCAAGAGCTGAAGCTGGGACCTCTGCTGGGGGTAGAGCTGGTTGGCGCTACCTCCCCGCCCCCTGCAGGAGCCTGAACCTGCCATACCCCCCCAGAATGTTCCTCTGTGCCCCCCTACGGTGGCGTGCTCCGCAGTTTGGGGACCACTGGTGTAAAGGGTGGTATTTCCTCCAGTACTTTCCTTCCCAGAAATCCTTTTAAGTGTTAAACTTCCAATGCATTCTGTTGGGTGTTAGCCATCAGATTCCTGTTAAAGTCAATGGGAAATCATACAGCTAGAATACCAAAGAGCCCCATCCAGCAAAGTGAAGCAAGCAAGTGTATTGGTCCAGGGCTTTGCTGGAGCAGGGCCATAATACTTGAAGGTGTCTCTTTGAATTCCTTCTTGTGCTCCCACCAGAGGGGTCGGAACCTCTTGGGTAGAAGTCTGCTTTTTTTCTAGCTGAAGTTTGTTTTAAATCGTCCTCCTTGTCACAGGGGCCTTTAGTTTTCCATTAGGTTTTTATTAAGAAATGTGCTTTTGATTAAATGAAAGGCTAGAACATCTGACCAACAGCAGTTGTTTGAGTTAGAGGGAAAGTGGCCTGCTTGTATCCACGTATTAGCAACCCCGCCAGTCAGGTGATGGGGAGAGAAGCAAAAGTCCTGAGCCCTGCAGTGATGTGTCTAAATACAGTGGAACACATTTAGAGTGAAACCGCACTGTAAAATGGCACAAAAGGCCCAAATTGCTCCATGTGCTGCAAGGATCAAACTTCAGTTTGGCTTATGGGGA